ATCCCAGCTATAAAGTATGGTGGAGGAAACACCACGATTTGGGCCTGTTTTGCTGCCTCAGGGCCTGGCCAGCTTGCAGGCATTGAGGGGAACATAGATTCTTCAGGATAATGTGAGACTGTTTGTATGTCAGGTGAAACTCTGTAGACGTTGGGCGATTCAACAGGACAATGACCCAACACATCGCAGCCAAGTCCACAACAGAATGCCTTCAGAAAAACAAAATCCACCTTTTGGAGTGGCCAGGCCGTAGCACAGACCCAAACCCCATAGAGATGCTGTGGAATGACTTGAAGAGAGCCCCACACATGAGACATCCAAAGAATACAACAGAGCTAAAGCAGTTCTGCCAGGAAGAATGGGCTAAAATCCCTCCTGAACGATGTGCCGCTCTGACCCACAGCCACAGGAAGCGCCTGGTTGAGGTTACTGCCGCCAAGGGGGGTCAATCAGGTATTGATTCCAAGGGTTCACCTGCTTTTTCCACTTGCATTTTGAATGCTAGATGTTCAATAAAGACATGGAGGATCAGAACTGGTTTTGTGTTATTATTTTAGGCACATTATATTTGTCAATACTCTTGACTTAGGTGACAGTTAGATCCTGCTATGGCAGATTAATGCAGAACACCATGGAATTCCAAAAGGTTCACATGCTTTTTCTTGCAAAAGTATATACTGCTCTAGCATCAATAAATCCTCATTACACGTCTCCAGCTGCCCACGTTTTGCGCATTTTTCCATCTCTTATATACTTATAAGGGGTTACTCTGTGCAAGCAGACAAATTACAGATGCATGTGAGAAAAGATTGAGCAACTCAAACACTAATTTCTGGACAGCCGAACATTCCTACACATAGATTTCATATTAATCACTGCCTTTAAAAGGACTTTGTTCAAGATGGTTTTATTCTGAATAATATCAACATGTTCATACATGAATATGGTGAAATCATACTGGAAACTTTGTGTCATTTTGCTATGCAGACTTCATTTTCTGAACTTTCAGTGACTCAGTCTAGAGTGTGGCAGCACTGCACGCAAAACGTAAGAAGACTTTTGGAAAGGTATATTTAATTTACACTCAGATTACAGCAACAATTACAGCTGTAGTCTCCACATATGTTCCAAAGTCAACCTGTCATGCTCTGATGTGAAGAGTGAGAACAGAGAAAGGCTGAGCAAAACCTGATCAGATAAGAAAGAATTAATTTTGGTGGCTCCCACTCAACTGCTTAGCAACGCGATTAGGACAAAATGGCCCATCTCTGTTGAGTACTTCATATGAGATGCATTCAGGCTGAAGCAACTTCTGTGAAGCACGGGTACTACAAAGCCTGACAGTACAAGCTTTCTTCTCTGATTCCTAGTGACGATCTTGAGTACCCTGTTAGCTGCTTAAGGTACACACATGTTGACTGTTTGATACTGGGACAGAGATCAAGGAGACTTAAATAACTTCTTCCAGTAGAAGTGTCACACTTCCAAAAATGTTTCACACATTGACACTTATATTTGCTGTAAAACAAAACAATTCACTGTCACATCACTTGTAAGAAGAGACATCTAGGTTTTGGCAAATCAGCAGAGATAAATACTACTAATCATCCAGGACTAAGGATCTAGTTTCAGTTGCCACAGACATCTGCTAAACAATGAACAATCCAGAAAAAACAGTAAGGCCTTTACTTTCTGTATTATTCACTACCAAATTGTCTATTGAGAAGGAAACAGTGAACAAATTATTAATGTTTATGGGTAACATAACTGCAATCATAAACAGGTTACCATTTTATAGCTTAATGCAGGCATACTTAAATCTCTGAAAACAGCAATAATTGCCAAATGTATTATGAAAAATTGCAGCCCTCACTTCCTCTGGGTAGCCAAGGGCTCAAGTAGAATAAAAAATGATTGGAGAACCAGGCTACGGCAGAAGAAAAACAACTACTGAAAAAGTATAGTTGCCTGCTCTACAGCAAGGTCAGATAGCACTATAAATTGCTTGAGTCAGGGGAGAAACTCTCAAAGCTTTCTTGAAAGAGCCTTTGCTTTTAGAAGAAAGCTTCCTCCAGTATCCTTAATATTTCATACTCCTGAAGGTATATTATCACAAACAAATACAAGAAGACAAGGAGAGAAAAGGAGAGCAAGCAATATATGGTTCAGCACGTAAAATCCACATTTTCTCTCAAAGCAGTTGGAACGTAAAATTCTTGAAGTTTTCATCAAGTCTGCTGAAACTACATTGGGAGTAAGGCAATACAAACTGCTGGGGTAATAATCGTTACGGCAAATTCATATTTGCTGCTGTCAGTGCACTTTGGTTATAGTTTTTAAGTGTAGTAAATTGGACAAACATGAATGAAAGGATTAAATTCCTTCTAAGGAATGTTATAGTACACACTCCAGCACAGTGTACTCCTCTTCCTCTTGACTTCAGAACTCAAATCTTTCTGGAAACTTATTTCTGGTTAGTTGCATACGTCTTGGGTTTTGCACTCAACACAGCTGTGGCAGGGCAGGGTATTCTTTCACCTGTTAACGGGATGCAAGAGACTCCAGGTGTGATAAATGGGAGAAGAATCAAGGGCAGACAGCAGTTGTTATTATCCAGATCTATGGTAAACAGGGATCACATACTGGTTCAGTGAACTGCAGCAGCACTGAACAGACTTTATCACTACCACTAACAGGTATCATCATCGGCTTTCCATGATGGGACCATGCGTAAGAGCTAAGAAAACAGCGTATAAACTTACTTGGAGTGAAAATGCTCGTAAAGCAGGAATAGGGATTAAGGCAGCCATAAAGAAAGCAGTAACATTGCTGATAGATGTAAGGGCTACGCTTGCTCCCGTTCGCTTCAAACATTCACCTGTTCTGTCCTGAAAAACAAATGACGCATCTTAAAAGTCAAGTGAATAAGGTGATATCCTGCAAATGAAGGTGTCATCCTAGACACACAGGGGCATAACATCTCTACACATCTTGAAGGGGTATGTAACAAAACAAAATACAAAACAAAAACCCCAAGGACTACACACAAAAATGTCAGGGAAAAAGATAAACACATGATCCTTTTCCAACCCAATGAGCTACTTCAAAGTATATGGAAGTTATAGTAGGGGGAGGTAGTAGCACCTGTATGCCAAACCAGCTGCAATGAGCACATGTAAGACATTGCTTATACAAAACAGAACGGGCAAACATACATTGCTGTTAAACGGTTCATACTTTGCATACAAAACTTTGGACTGAGGGTAAAAAGGTCAATAAAAGGAAAGAATTATAGAAGTGGTAACATCTTAGATTTTATAACATTGATATGTCACACTGAAAAGCCATGGTTAATTATAAACACCAGAAAAGAAAACCAAAGGAAAATACACAAAATAATTCAAATTTAGGGCCATAACAGAAAAAGTAAACAGTTGATACAAATAAAGAGAAATGTTTTTTTCCTAAGTTGTCATCATCCTCTGTTTTCACCTTAACATTTTTTTGTTCTTCCATTGAAAGCATTCTATCATTTAAGTGTCAGACTCATACTTGAGTTTGCTCCTAAGTTTATACACACTTACGCTGAGATTTTGGGTAGACTTTGATTATGTAAATTAGCCTTTTTATGGTACCTATAAAAATTTCAAGACAAATCTACAACCCTGTTTAAAAAAAAAAAAAAATCAAGACAAAAAGAATACGAACATTCCAAAACATTCTATTATCACATGTATAGCTGTAATTTCCTATTTTGATAAAAACAGTAATTTCTAGACTTAATAAAAATGCACTGAGAAAAAACACAGCACTTTTTAATCACCACTAATTAATCCTGAATACAGTTATCTTTTCCTATTCAGGGCGTCTCATTGTATCCTCCCCCAAGTCCCCGTTTTGTCATTACCTCAAATGGAATTCTCTTGTTCTGCCCTGTTTCACTAAATGCATGTGCCAGAAGGAAAACATCATCTACACCAACTCCAAGAGCAAGAAACGGCAAAACCTTCAGGGAGAAACAAAACAAACAAAAAACAAGAAGGCTCTTTTATGATCTGCCATGCAGCTAGCCATTAAATGGCTAATTAAAGGAACTTTCACATTACACTGTACACAAAACCAAAGGTAAAATTAAAATCAAAGGATGTGATACAGCTTTTAACTTTTATTCTGAAATACTGCTGAGGAAGTAGCATTTACAGGTACAAAAGCTCACCAAAAGTAATTCAATTTTTGGGTAGACAAAGAATATCCAACAGTAATTCAAGTTATATTCAAAATCTTTTCAGAATTTGAACACCCTAATAAATTCAGATGTAAAGAAAAAACTTGCAGCTTCCTATGTACAACTGGATGCCTCCACTCATACTGGGAGAGAGAAAAAACAAATAACCCCCAAATCTAGTAATTATACAAACTACATGATACCCATCTTTTTCTTTAATATCATTTGACAGCATGATCACTTAATTTCTCAAGAGCATAAGCTACGAGACAGGAGAAAGGCACATGTGAAAATCTAAAGCCAAAACACTTTTGCAGCTTTTTTCCCCTCAAGGATTCAGTTGTGTACATTTACTGACAGAGTAGTTGCAATTTAACAGCAGACTTATGTCTCCTAAATACCTGAGTTGTGGCAGCATTAAAGGAAATTCCAATCAATGAGCACAGGCCCAATCCTGCAGCTACTGAGAGTGCAACCAACAAGACTCCTGCCAGCCCCACAGCACCTTGAGACTTGGCACAGTCCCACCGCAGCATTGTTAAACAGGCGTAGGCAAGCTAAACCAAAAAGCAAGGGAGAACAGAAGGAGTTGGAGAAAAAAAAGCAAAATATTAGAACAGATCCTTTTCTAACTGTTACCTTTCCCCATCCAAAATACACTTATTTGCAAATGATTTTAAACAGAATAAATAAAAGAGATACATCACAGATATTACACAAAGGAACAGGTGACAACCCCAAGGGGAAAGTTTACAAATTGTAGGTTTTATTTTAAATATGCCTACAAGGTTCTGGACTACTGACTGCTAAAAATCAAATGGGTATTTAAACCCTGCTCTACTACCAGAGAAACATAAATGTATTTATTTTATTACCATTAGTAAGTAGCCACTAGCTACTCTGATAACGCTGACATCAGAAAATGACTTTAGGATATCATCCAGGGTCGTTGTAGTAAAGGAGAGCACCTTCTGAGTAGAGTTTTGTGCAACACTTTGATGAACAACCTATGAAAAAAAAAATAAAACTTGGTGTGACTACAGAGAAAACTCATTACTATCTTCTATATGGCATATCTGCTTTTGCCTTAATGTTGCTATAATACCCCACACCCTACACAGAGATAATGCTGATGCTACACAAATATGTTTGGCAATTATTTCTTACAAACTACTGATTATCAGACAGGAATTTGCATCCTTCAGGAAAGGCTACTGCATTCTCAGCCCATTCCAAACATTTAATTTTAGTTCTCTTCGCATAACTCCACATGGATTTGCTGCAAGTATGAGTTTTGCCTTTAACCTGAGGCCAGTGATCTCTTTGGAGTGCTCCTCTTTCCCTCTGCCCGGCCATTTGCAGAGGTCAGAAGCAGTGCCACAGAGGTCAGTGCTCAGGACACAGAGGCCAGGCACTGTCACACAGCCTTCCCCAGCCAGGCTGCCACTGGGAGACCAGCCCATGGCAGGCTAATGTTTTCCAGACAGCTGCAGAATAATAACCACGCCAACCAAAAGCTTTTAAATTCCAGCTAGCCCTTTGGTTCCTTCTTAGCCCCAGCATAGCAAAAATGTCCCAGACAGTAAAGAGCAAAACCTTCACGGCTTCTTGTAAGTGAATAACTAAGCAGCTTCTAAATTAGGAGAAAAAAACAAAAATTAAGATCAGCTTAAAAACCAGGAGGCAATGACTCAGTTCCGGCTTAAGCATTGTCCTTGAAAAAATACTTTAAAAAACAGGACAGAAGGCAGCAGATCTTAGCTGGACTTTGTAGTACGATATCTAGGTTATTTACAATTTTACCTCAACATACATCCTCTGCCAGGCTTCCAGAATTGCTGCTGCCTTATCCTCGTTCCAGTTGATATGTGAAACATATTCATATCCCTTGAAGTGCTCATACATTTGCTTAGGAGTCATTAACTGAAACATGGTTTGCAAAGCCTGGGCACTGCGGTATGGAGGGAAAGGAGAGGAGGAAGAGGCATAAAATGAGCTTTTTCAGGAAATTATTTTCATGTCATCTAGTCCCAAATGACACCCTAACAGGAGCTTGTGTGAGCTCTTGATTTCACAGGGCACATGTTTTTATCAAAATTGATCAGAATATAATTATTCTTCTGTGTATCTTCTGTGTACTGATCTATGCAGTATTCAGACAAAACTGAAGCTAATGAGAGTTCTGCAATTATTTTCAGTAGGATCAATTTCAGGACCAATGAAGGTAACCCTACAAATCCATTATAAAGAACACAACTGATAGATTACTGTGAGGATGCCACAGGAACACTTATTTCTAATGAGATCTTGTAAATGCTATTGAGAATTTCTCTTTTGAAGACCTTGTACTTTTTTTATCTCTCAGAGAGAACTGCCAGATTAAATTCCTGATGCCTGACAAGCTGCAAGGAGTACACAATGGCTATAACTATCCATTCAGAATTTCCACAGTTTGCAATTGTATCCAATAATTTTAGAAGCTTAAAGAACTATTTTTTTTCACAAAAAAAATATTCTTTGGATATTTGTTGAAAGATTTATCAATGTTTAGTATGAATGTAAAAAGGTCAAAAAATTAGTTTTAGTAAAAGTTCTCTAAATATGGAAGAATTATGCTTCATCGTGCTTGCATTTTCCAGAACAGTTCTATTTACTTTTTTTTCCCCACTGAAGTTCAGTGTTCCATAACTTCTTCAAGAAGTCTGAAACAATGAAGTTTGGTTTTGTCACTTAAAACTACATTCAAGAGGTAGAGACATAGACTTTTCTTTGTATTGATGCTGGACAGAAAGTTCACTGGAGATCTTGCAGTTCTGAAAGAAGTCAAATGAGTGACCGTATTACCCAAATTATTTTTTCCCCTTTTTCCTTTGATCATATTTCAAAACATGATCAAAGGTGTTCAGTATTTTAAACACTGTTCTATGCTCCATACGTACACTCCAAACAAGAAAGTTGCCAGGAAAACACTTGCTATCTGAGCAATGTACACCATCGCTCTGAGGTTAGAAGTAGGAAGTAATGACACGTCCTTAAACCTGAACAACTATCTAATCAGTCTTAAATTCTGTTCTCTTGAGGCATGGCCTCCTAAACTGGGATACCTAATGCACATGAAGGGCAGAAGATTTTGCATGGTCCTCTCCCTGTGCCCCAAAATCTAAACTCTAACAAAGAAAAACTGGCATTTTCCTTAGACATTTGTTTACCTGACAAGTTTACCAGAACCATTCTTGACTGTACCGCCTATTATCAACTCCTCTTGCCAATGCATGTATTTTCTTGACAGTCCATAGCATCCACCACTCAAAACAAGGGCTACATCAAGAGGCTAGAAAAAGTTACAAAGAAGCAATTAATCAGTTTCATAACTCTAGACAAACTCATACTCTAATTCAATAGCCAGTGTACTGGAATAATGTACATTAAAGACAATCTATGAGGTCTACAAAAAGAAACACATTCAGGAAACCAAGTTGAACAAATCAGACGGATTATTTGCTGATCAGATGGCAATTCGTCCAAAGCTTGAGAGGACTGATAAAGAGATACATAAACTTGGAGCAGCTTGAAAGAAGACTTGCTGCGTGCTGCAAGTGTATTGCAGCAGCTAAGTCTGTCTGAGGCATCGCATTTGCTCAAATGCCACACCACCACACTGCGACACCAGTAGCTGACAACTGTATTCCCACTCCAAATACAGGGATTAAGCATTGCATCACAGAATGAGGGAAAGTTAGTGACTGTGGGCCAACAGTACAAAACTGGAACGGAAAAATTACATCATTCAAGAATACGAACTGTATAATGCCTGGAAGAAAATGGAACCTTCTTCTCCGCTCTCTGACCTCCCCACACACACCCCAGTCTCTCTTGATGATATGCACAAGGACAAGCAAACTTACTTTGGTGGAATTTTTATTGGGAGCTGTGACTGGGCAATCAGGATCAGCAGGATTCAAGCAGGGTCGATCCATATAACCATGACCAACCTCCGCTTTATTCAGCATTTCTTCCCAGCTCTCCACTTGGTAGTTTATTTTCTTTAACTCTTCCAAGAATTCTAAGGGATCAAAGTTGATCCACTGCAAAGGAGGCTTCCCTCTGGAAGAGAAATCAGGAGAAAAATGATACACATAAAAAATACAAAAGTACTGAAACAAATATACTTTTAAAATTAGAATTCGCACAAATAATTGAGTTATTTTCTGTTACAAGTTAAAACCCTTCCCGGTAAGGTTTTTTCATAAAATGTAAAGCATGTTTTAATTAGATTTGTTTATATACTTTTCATGCAACCCAGTTGTAATTTTAGCAAAAATACTAAGTTCTTACAAAGTTATTGTGCAAAAATGGAATATTCACCAGTTAAAAATACTTCAGTTTACAAGCAAAGCACAACAAATCATCAAGCACCTAAACAACAAAAAAGCAGCCAACTGCTGCTTCAAAGAATTGGGGGGGGAGGGGAGAGGGTAAGAAGAGAGGGGATTGAGGAAAGAAAGCCTTTCTCATAGTATCAGATTACTTCTTGCTAGTCTAATAATCATCTTGCAAATGTAATCAATCAATATAGCTGATCTTTGTTTATCTATAACAATACTGTGCTCCTTCAAATGCCCTGGCAGCCTGACTATCAACCATCAAGCCTTCCTGCTACCACGGCTGTCACCACTATCACTGTCACGTCTCCCACCCCCCACTTCTGAATTTGTGATGTTGACAGACTAGAAAGGCTTTTGGCTGCCTTATTCTGTGGTTCAAACCACACTGTATCTGCTTAACCAGGCTTAAGTCATTATTTTGAATCTCCCAACCAGAAAACACAAACCCCCTTATTTCCCCATCTAAAACTGTACACTAAAGGTTAGGAGATGGCCATTGCAAATTGCTTTTACAGAGACATGCAAACCAGGACAGAAACAATAACTCAAATGCTAACTCTTGCATAATTAACACAAAATGCCTGCACGGATTAACAATTAACTCTTTGAAGGACTTGCGGCATATAATATCACACTTGTAAACTCGTAAACTGTGAGAAACCACCCATAAAAGATACTATATGGTTTCTTTAATGATGCCATACGCAGAGGATTTTTAATTTATTCCTTACAAAGACCTGAGATTTAACCGAAGACACTTCCTTAGGAAAAATATTCTCAGATAATCAACGGGTTTTTTTCATTTTGAGGGGAAAAAACACAAAACAAAACACCACAAAAACCCCCACCAGAAATGTTTATTTCAGGGAAAAAAGCTTGAATTCAGAAGTTACATCTTATTTTGCATGTTAGCAGAATGAGAAAAATAACATAGGACTTAAATCAAGCCAAAAAATTCTCTCTTAGAAATAGGAAATTCTTTGTTCAATGGGAAAAAAATAATCCATGAGCATATTCTGCAGAGACACCACACTTTATCTTTTATCTTTCTGTTAAACCAGAATCTGAATAATGGGAATGCAACAAAATCATACACAGTTAGACAATTAAAATCAGTCAGACCAGAAAGTTGTAACAAAACCCAAACATGCTTACAATAGATAGGCAGTTCCTGATTGCAGCTTTGCTCCCTCCCAGAAGCAGTCCAAAGGAGTGATAATTAGGCAAGGATAAAGATATTCTATGATCTGTCAAAATCAGAAAGAAACTCACAGTTACACTAGAATATGATCAAGAACATAAGCAGCACATGGGAATACACAAATCTCAAAACTACACGCCTGCTACACATACCTGGTCCATGTAACCTGCTTCTGTGATGAGTTCTCCTGATTTATAACACAAATGTTCCAATTTCCACTGCCTGTAAGACACAAAAAAAGCATTTTTTTCCTGCGTAATTTTTGAAAGGTTATTTTTAAAATGTAACAGACATTTAAAACTGCAGTTTGTATATAGATATTGGCCTCAAGCAACAAATAATTGAGAAACACAAATATTCAGCAAAGACGTACTATACCTCACAAAAAAAGCAAAGACTTCTTTTTGTTGTTTGTTACAGACATTTGTTTTAGTTACTCTCACATTCTCTGTAAAACTCATTAAAAATAATGGAGCTGCTTTTGGATGTACAGGCTAGTCAACATACGCTAAAAGGACAGATATCCATCTTTGCATAAATGACACAGCTTGTAACTTGAGATGTCACCTAGTGACACAAGTGAGAGAGAAGCCAGCTCCAACTCAGAGGACTAGAATATTCCCAGGTGACCTGCACACACAGGATTAAAGAAATTATTAGGATTTCTGCCCTCATTTTTCAGCTATATTACAACTGCCACTGCCATGAATTCTAATGCCTCAGACAAGACAGGAGCTGGGTACAAGATAATTGGAGCCTTGGCATTAGCTCACTGAGGCATCCGGTGGATGTGCTGAAATACAGGGGACTTCATGCTTCACGAGCAGCATCCCTAGGCACATCATCATTTAAGTGGCAACCCTGAGAGAAACACTTTTCAGGGAGACATCTCACCAGCTCAAAGGTGGTACCTTCCTAAGGTGCACCTTTATTATTTTGTTGTTGGACAACACACAACTCCTAACTTCCATTATGTGTGCACAAACATATAATGTCATGTCCACGTTATCAGACTGCCATGATTCTACCCACTGCCATTTCTCACAAGACTGCATTCCCCTTTATACCCAAACTACTGGAAGGACAGTAATTTGTTCACAGTCATTATGCTGCTCAAGATAGTATCAGTGAATTAAATTCTAATGTGGAAGGATTTTCAGTGTTAGGAATCCCATCCCTAAGGTCCCATGTTTAGGAACACATTCATCACTCCTTTATCAAGGCAAGTGCCAGATACTTTAGAACTGCCCACAGGGGTACATTTTCAGCATCTCTTCCTACGCCACATACCCCATCTTATTGGTTAGAAGTCAACCTGTCATTGCTACCATACCACACAGATCAAAACATAATCCTAAGGAAAAGGTTCTGAAGTGCTAACCATTCAAAAATACATGCAGGGCAGCATGCGCCCATTTTTTAGCTCTTACAAATCATCACAAGAACTTCCGTTTTTCTCCTTACCTGTTGTACATATAGACATGTACTCTGCTGGCCTGAAGCGCAGAGTCAAGGTGCTGCCGGAGTGCTTCTGTTGTTAGTACATTAGCACCATCTTCCTGTGGAGTCTGGATCATGAGCTGGGGGTTAAACATGGCCTCTTCTCCAATCTTCTGCCGTGTGTAGTTTAACTCCTGACTCACTCGTCCACCAACTGGATGGATAAATATCAACAGCTTTGTATTAGCCAGTAACTCCTTATTCTCGATTCCCTTGATGAGTACTCTCCAGTCAGAGAAACTTACCCATGTGCATGGACTGTTCTGACTCAAACTGATGACAATAAACCCTAAAACTAGTAACAACTTTACTTTAGTAATGCTGCAACAAAAACCATACTCCTCATTAACACTGCCTCTACTGCAGGAAAACATTGATGCGTAAAGGAGAGCCTCAAACATTTTTTCTACATTATAGCCACTATCCCATATGTAAAAATTAAAAAAAAGAAAAACCTTTTCCTTGTAGACCAGACCAAATACTACATTACAATTTCTTACACTTGTATAAACAGTCTGCTCCAATAGCACATTTCAAGATAAATGGCTTTAATTGACACTCTTCTCCTAAACAGTTTGGCAAAGGCAGAAGGAGAATGTTTCTCTTTGGTTAAAAA